TTCCATAACATCCAAGGATTATGAAAGCTTAAGAAATGGAAAAGAACAAAACCAAGTCCAAAAACGACTCAAGCCATTTGCAACTTCAGAGTAATATCAATGCAGTAAAAATATAAGCAAATTTTATCTTTTTAACAACGGACAATATCTAGCTGAAATCTAGACTAATTCAATGTTCCGTGAAAAAAAAAAATCGAATTTGTTTACAATATAAAGCATTCACTATGATTTGTAACCCCAAAAAAAAAAACAAAAAGCATTCACTATGACCAATCACGAATAAAATCACACTGAAAATTTTGAACCACCAACATAGGATAAAACTTTCAAGTAGTAGACACACTATGAAATGCACCACAAACATGTGTCGACAAGTAAAAACACCAAAGTAAACACTCACCCCATTTTTTAATCTATTTTAATTCTTTGCAAAATTTCAAACTCGGTTTCTCCTTTTTCCTCCTCTTCTCTACCTTTGGAGTTCTTTAGACTTTAACTGAATAACAAAAGAACCAATCGATGGTGGTTACTATAACAGAGACAAAGCACCATTTGTTAATATCAGCAAAGAAATCAGCTTACCATTATGATGAGTACATGAACGAACACACCTACAATTAAAGTCCATGTCACAATGGTGTGCCTTTTCTATTATCTTTTGTGTGTCGAACACTATATATCCCACGAAAGATCACGAGTCCAAAGTAGAGCTGCGACCAAAAAGTTCATAAAAACGGTGAGAAATAAAAGTTATAACTCACTACTAGCTACAAGAGAAATCAAAGTAACTACAAGAAGGATCGATATCTTTACTCGCAAAAGAAGATGGTTGGTTACCTGAAACTCGACAGACGAAGATGCAAACTCAGAAGTCCTGAGCAAAGCTAGCATGGACAGGCCAGAAGAAAGCATTCCTCCGAGGTAGAGGTACTCTCTGCGTCGAGCCAGCATTGCCACTGCCGAGAAACATAAAAATACCACCGCAGTCCTAGAAACGCGGTGATAAGGATGTTAGAGAAAAGACACTATTGTTATTTTCCGTTGTTAG